GAAAACCAAGGTTTATGAAAATGAAAAAAATGAAGCGAAGAAAAAAGAACCGAGGCTCTGAGTATATAAAATGAAAAATTAGCTATTAGTTGGGCCCACTTGATGGAAAATTGGTCGGACTCAGGCAGTGGGTGGTGAATTCTAACTTTTTTTTTTTAACGGGTGGTTATTTTAAATATTCGAAAAAAAAGGTGGTTATTTCAAACTAGGGTGATTTGAAGGGTGGTTTTTATTAAGGCGGGTGTACAGTAACTTAGGGAATGGCGAAAAGAAAGAGGAAAAAAAGTGGTTTATCACACGTGCCACATGGAACATTTATTCACCCTAATTCATTTCATTACCTTTCTCTCTCCTTATCCATTTGCTTATTTCATTCTGAAAATTTTATCTCTTCAACTTTTTTTCTCCTAGCGTAGTCGTCAACTACGGACGACTACGGACAACTACGGACGACTATGTTAAGAGATTAAATCTGAACCGTTTATTATGATTGTTGGTTAATCTTAGCCTTTGAATATTAGTTTTTTTTTTAAATTATAAAATCAAATTTACACATCATTTAAGTCAAGAACAATCAGCGACCAGTTAACAAAATGTTGTTTGTATTCTTACTCTAAGAGGGTATTTTTTTAAAAATTATAATATTATAAACAACTATCCAAATAAATTATAAAATTGATAAAAATTCTTCTAATAAAAAAAAAATTATACGATTTCATAAGTCATAACCATTTTAAAAATTTCATCCGTGTTTTGATAGCTTCATCCATATTCAATGGCGCACTTCGTCTTTGATTTATTTTAATGGGTGTTTCATCTTCAACCTCCAAATTTTATTATCGATTCAAAACACATCTAAATAAAATTATATATTGTATCAATAATATTAATATTTAATTTGCATCAAAAAGAAAAAATATTAATATTTAATCATCACTCCCGTAAAAAAAAAAGAAGTTTAATCTGCACAATTATGCTTCAAATTTTTTTTTTATAATTTCAATTTAATTATGTATTAAAAGTTCATTTGAAAAATTACAGATTAAATGTTTCGGGATTAATAATTAGAATAGGAATGATTTTTTAATTTAATTTGATCAGACATCTGAATTATTAAGTAATCATCTGCCATTGTTGAATTTTGAATCTTGAGCATGATATTATATTAAAAATGAATGAAAATAAAAATAAAGATATTTTATCAAATTAATTAGTTGTTACTAATTCATATGTATAATGGTTTTGTGATCTAAAGGGATGCTTTTTTTTTTTGTATCACTATTGATGAGCTTTGAATATCTCAAGTAAAAGAAATTAATTGGTAGTTAAAAAAACGACAATGCAATGCAGTGTTATTTTTTATTTTTTTTGAATTAAAACGAAAAAATATTTTTTTAAAAAAAAAATTAAAAGGAAAAAGATGAAACAAATGAAGAAGTTACCTTATATTTTTGACTAAATCTATCCTTAATCATTTATGGTAAAAATGATTTATTAAAATATTTTAACATATTAACAAGTTAAATATTTTAATATTATTTACATCATATATAGCAAAGCCTTCTTTTAAAAAAAATATACGTAGTACTCCCTTCGTTTTTAAGTACTTGCTCTATTTATACATGCGCGGAGTTTTAGGAGAAATTGGATAAAGTAATAAAATATGGAGGTAGTGGGGTTGGTGGAAGAATAAAAAATTATAAAAAACCAAAAGTAGTGGAGAAAATTGAAAGAGAGAGAATATGGAATTAATATTGTTGGGTCCACTTGTTGGGAGAAATTAATTAAATATTGTAAAAACTTTCCAAATAAGGAAATAGAGCAAGTATTTAAAAACGGCCGAAAAAAGAAAGTGAAGCAAGTATTTAAAAACGAAGGGAGTATATAGCAAAGCCTTGCATAATTGTACAAGTAAGGGATACAGTAGCATGCATAATGCCTAAGACTAAGAAGTAAATATTATCTTTCCTCCTCATCAAAAAAACGATTTTATTTTTTTATTTTTTATTTTTTATTTTTTTGGTGAAACAAAAAGCGAAATATTATGGGCTAGTCATCCTTGGGATGCATCTATCTCTTTGAGTTTAGATGAGCCCAATGGCGGATCTTGAAACCTTTTCTTTCGGGGGCCAATTATATTTAACATGAGTGTACGTCTAAAACAATACCAAGGAGTATAAAAATATATCTAAATATGATCAATATTACCAAACAATAAAAAAAATGCAACTGTCAGTGTGTCACAATCTTATTCTTTCTCATACAAATGTCACAATCTATTTCTCTAGAAAACTATTAAAGTAAGAGGCTCGTCTTTCTTTTAATAATTTGAAATCATCAATTATTGACTTAGTACTAAATTACTTAGAAATCTTCCTTTCATTGGAAATAACTAAACTATCGGCCAAAAACTCATCCTATATATAAACACCCGAATGTGTCTCCCCAAAACCAAACCCAGTGATGAATACCTATCACGTCATTTGACTATCGAACAAAGCGAAAGTGTGAAAAGTCTAGTGATGATGATATTTTTATTAAAATATCTATTCTTTCTGTTTTTGAAATATTTCTTTTCTTACCTTATTTATGAAAAACGTGCATTCCAATTTATTTTGGTCCATGATAAGGGTCCAATAATGGTGTAATTGGATGGGGTTTGAAAAGACCATTCCAACGATATATTATAAGCCCAATTTCGATTAATAATGAGGAAGTTATGGCCAAAATACTAAACTAGACCAGGTTTGGTTTTTATATGCGGCCCAATGATTTAGAGAAGGACCTATTATTAGTTATCATTCCTAAAGCTATTAGGATTGATTATAGTCTTCTAGAATACTCTAAAAGGTTATTTTAAATCCTAATGGAGTTAGGATTGATAATTATGTTTCAAAGAGTTTGAAATTGAAAAAAAATACTCCTTTTTAGAATCCTTGTTTTGTACAAAATGGAATATATTCATATTTTATTTTTGTGCCTCATAATCTTTATCCAAGTATTATATGGTTGGATAGATCTTGAAATTATCTTTCCAATGATATATTATAAAATTAAATCCGAGTTTTAACGAAAAAGATATGAATGGAATATGAAACTCTATCCAAAACTGACACCCTTCCACTATTTCGACCATATATTTTTATCTACATAATATTTTAATCTGAATCTAATTGAGTTAGAAAGTAGACTGCAAGAGTTTTCCAATGACATATTATATTACTTATTTGGACTTCCGGATCAAAAGATATGATTTAAAAAAAACGCGTGAAACTGATTATTAGCGCCTGACGTCAAGCATTAGCGCCCGGCGCTAACCTTCAGCGCCTGGCGCTACTGACCAGCGTTTGGCGCTAATCGTGTTTTATTCTCGTTGAAACTCTGATTCGTTTTTTTATCCATCCGACTGATTTTCTCTACAAATAGCCTCTTAAAATTCTGTTTTCAATCATCAATTTCCATCAATTCTCATCAATAATCACCAACTCTCATCAAGAATTTCTTGATTCTCTCTCTCTTTCTAAGCCTAGCCTTTTACAAACACAAATTCATCATCATTAGAACTAGACACACCTAGCATAATTCGAAGTTGCCTTTGCTCTAGACGTGAAAGGTTTAATATTTCTGAGGGTTTGGTCCCAAATCTTTCTTTCAATAGTTTAATTTAATAGTGTGTTTATTATTTTCCTTGAAGTTACTAACGTGTGTATTTTGTTATTTGAAAGAGATACGAGGCATCCAAGTAAGTGCTTTAATTGATTTTATTGTTATTATGATATAGAAATCATGTTTAGGTTGTTATTATGATTCCTAGTATCATGTTAGGATGTTTGATGTTTTGAATGATAACAATGATTCCTAGTATCATGTTAAGGCTAAAGCTTTGATTTTTATTGTTTAGTGACATGCTAGGGTTTGTTATTAATCTTGTTAGTATCATGCCTATGATCTTGCTATTAATATTATGCTTTAACATGATTATGATGATTATAATTGTTATTGTGTTTATTATGTTGCTTGTTATATATTTATTGTTATTGCTTGATCATGCCTTTTATGCGTATTTAAAGGGATTGATACTTGTAATCACGCTTAATAAGATAATTAATAATCTTGTTTAGGGTTAATATGATTATAATTCAAGTGATCGCCAATAATAGTTTTATTTGTGCATTTATATTCAACCAACATAGATAAACAGGTTTAGTGTAAACCTATTGATTGCATGTTAGTCAGAAAGCGCACATGAATACGATAAGAATAAAGTAGAGGCCTATTATTAGGGCAGGTTCAATCTCTTTTAGGTTGGATTTGTACCTTCATCCCCGAACTACCAGTCATGGTTCCAGACCTATTGGAGTTGACGATCTCCTAGATCGTTAAGGGGTGTAACCTTCACCTTGTGAACGGTTTACAAGTTACTAAAACTTGTTGGCGACTCTTTTGCTCAATCTTCTTTCCCTTTGGACGCCACCATACTTACGTGTATGATCACAGTGGGGTTCAAGTTCGGGATAATGCTTGAAATATTCCCTACACTCCATCTTGTTACGTAGTCTTGTTTTCATGATCTTAATTGGTTAAAATGCTCTTTCATTGGTAGCTATTGAGATAGGAAAAGTCAAAACAAGACGTATTAGTCTATCAAACAAAAAGTATACATTTAATTTTCCTTGTGCCAAGTGTTCGCAAAATACCTCCAAGGTAGAATGATGAGTCAAACTAGGCTCATTTTTTGCTTCACAAAATAAGTGCTGCAATTTATACCTCAAATGAGACCTTTCTTGCTCCGTAAAATCCATGGGGTAAAACTTTTCTGCAATCAAGCAAATCTTCTCAAGATCAAAAATTTTAAATCTGTCATTGGGCTCTAACAAAGATGATAAATTTAAGAGCTCTAAAGCATCATCATTAAATCTACGATTTAGCTCTTGTAATTGTTTGTCAATTGCACCCAAAAATATTTCAACTCGATAAAAATGATTCATTATAACTTGATCTTATTGATGACGAGTTATATAAGGAGAATTCATATCAGGTATTAAAATATCATGTTGGTGACAAAACAATACCATCGTCTCTAAAAAACTTTCCCATCCATTTTCTCTCATATCCTGAATTAGTGCATGATTTGTAGACACTAATTTCACAGCATTGACAATATCTTGGGACTTTTGTTGTAAGGCTTGACATAGAACATTAGCAATTCCCAAAATTTCTTCCACTAAACGGGCAATGAACACAAAATCAAAGGAAATCATTAGATCTAAAGTAGCATCAACATCCCCACGTTGGGAAGAATTACAAGACTTATCATTCGAAATGTGTTCAAGTGCTAACACTGTTGCATCAAACATTTTCATCAAGCTATGAATAGAGTAAAGATGTGAACCCCAACGTGTATCTCCAGCTCTTTTTAAAGTACTCGTCTGATTAGCTCCTCTACCACTGTCTATTTCACCAATAGATAATAGCCTTTTAATTTCACCAGATTTGATGGATTGCAATTGGTTAACTCGTTTAGTAGATGAAACAATGACATTGATAATGAAAGTCAAATTTGAAAAAAAACGTATGTATTACTCTAACATCTCTAGATGCGACAACCAATGCTAATTGTAAACGATGAGCAAAACAATGGATATAATAAGCATATGGACAATCAGAAAGAAATAATGCTTGCAAACCATTCCACTCACCTCTCATGTTACTAGCACCATCATATCCTTGCCCTCGAATATTTTCAACAGATAAATTATGTCGAGCAAGAACTGAACACAATTCTCTTTTAAGTGTTGCTGTCGTGGTATCGGAAACTCGTATAAGGTCAAACAATCGCTCCCTAATTGTTCCATATTTGTCAACAAACCTTAAAAAAAGACCCATTTGCTCTCTTTTAGATTCATCTCGAGTCTCATCAACAATAATACAGAATTTAGAGTTACCAATTTCTTGTCTTATATAGTTGCGAACCTTATTCGAAATAATATGGAGAATCTCTTTTAGAATCGAGGGAGCAGTATATTTGGCATTATAAGGAACTTGTCGTATAGCTTTGGAAACATCTTTATAATATGCAGCCAACACCTTTCTAAATTCAAGATAGTTTCCTTGATTCTCATAATTATTTGTTTCATTGTGACCTCTTCAAGGACAAGATTGTGTGGTTAACAAGCGGAGGACATCGATAGAAGCCTTTAAACGCAATCGATTTTTCTTGATTTGCATTTCACTTTGTTTGTAAAAAACATTACGAATCTTTGCTTTTTGCTTAGGAAGAGTCATGTACAATTGAACCGCATTTCGATGAGCTGTACATGGACCTTCTCCAATATGAGAAAAGAACCCACAACGTTTCCCGCCATTGACTTTTTTCCAATTTTTGAATCCAGTCAAAGTAAACGTTTTTACCCGATAATTTGGTGTTTCAGTAAACAGATAACAAGGTAAACAAAATGCAGCATCTTTAGAAGGTGCATATTCCAACCAATCTGGGAACTTAGCAAACCAAGTAGATTGAAATCGGCGACGATGCTTTGTAGGCCCTAAAAATGGATATTCTGCCAATTGAGGTTGATAAGGCCCAATTTAATATAAGCACATCTTATTTCATTTCGTTTTCCAATTGGATAAGCCCATATTGGAGGACGTAACCCTAGATCACATTCTAAAGAATTGATATCTACATTGTCATTGTCAATGATCGATGGACCTTCTTCATGATTATGTGTCCGGGTAGGAGTATCTTCATTAACTGGATTATTTTCTTCAGGTATTTTGTCATTTTCTGGCTCTTTTCGTTTGTAAAAGGAGGTAATAGATTTTTGTTTGTTCATATTTGTTTACCTGAAATTAGTTATAAGTTAATTTTATTTTATAAATGTCCTACATCTTTCTTGAAAAAAATATTACGTTTTAATTAATTATTTGATTCTAACATGTAACAACCAATTAAAAAATATAATATGAATGAAAATAAGAAACTAACTTTAAGCAATTAAGCATACATTCATTAGTGACTAATTTGTTAATTATCAATGCATTACAATTCACAAATCACAAGTGTAAATCAAAAGTAAAAAATAACTTATCAATTGATAAATATTACTCCCTCCGTCCCTAAATTACATTCCTATTTCTAACATTTATTTCTCACATAGTAGAGGAAAACAAGAATGTAATTTAGGGACGGAAGGAGTAATAAAGAAATAGAGAACGACATACCGAAGGCAAAACGTGCTCTATACTTTGAACTAAGTTATATATTGACTTTGATAACGTCTTGTCACCTAAAATTATCAATTTGTTTATTAATGCTCAAATTAATCAATACAGTACTACATAGTATAACATAAAAAAATTTAATTGCATAAAGTAAAAAAAAAATAATTGAAAACAAAAACTGAAAAACAAAATAGTCGAGTAAAATACCTTATATGATATTTTAAATTTGTAATTTGTTCTTGGAAATTGCAACTGAATTGGAACCTTGGAAAATTTATCAATTGTTTTATGATATTGATGACGTGATGAGAATTGAGGAATACGAAGTATATAATACGGAGTAGAGGGAGTGCAGGGAAAAGGGTTAAAGGGTTTAGGTTTCACAATTATCAAGTAGTTTTTGGGAATTGGGAAAGAAGGAATCTTTCCTTTTCTAAAATTTCCTTACTTCGTAGTTTACTAGCCGCATTCGTATAAAGCCATCACTTTTGGATTTTTTTTTTCCTTTTTTTTTATTGGGCTTTAAAAAAAAAATTCCCAAAATTCATCAGGGGCCAAGCCCAGTGGAGCCCCTCTTATGGTCCGCCCCTGGGTGAGCCCTTTAAGTCTTGCATGGTTTATTCGAACCATTACTGGTTTTATGCATTATAAATTATGGGTAAATTTGGATTGTGTTTTTGGTCTGTTCTAGGCAATCTGGTTGACCAGGAACAGTCATCGCTTCCGTTCGGATGTTTACTTGCCATAAGGGGTTTTTTCCTTGGCTAACCAATGGATTACTCAGAGTTCTAAGGTACGTGATTTTGCTTCTTTGTCCATTCCTGCATGTCCGCCTAGCTTTCATGTGACTCCTGTGGTTGGTCTGCCTAGTCCAGGCTCTAATTATGATGTTTTCCTTTCCTTTTATGGTGCGTGGGATCGGGGGATCATCGATCTGGCATGGGTTGGACCTTCTTAGTCCAAGTGGGTTTTCCTTGGGTCGGAGTGGGTGCTCAGGCTTGAAATCAGAATTACTTGCTTGTCTTTTGGGTCTTTCTCATGTCTAGGAAAAGGGCTTTTCGAAGATCATGCTTCTCACGGATTGCAGTTCTATTAAGCAGCTTTTAATGGGTTGTACATCCCCAGATATTTCGGTTGTCTGGATTCTGAGGGAAATTCGGCTTATTCTATCTTCGTTTCACATGTTCGGGATTCGAAAGGTTTTGAGGCAAAAGGTGGGCCAGGCTCACGTTTTGGCTGGTTTAGCTCGTCGTCGTTGGTTACTTCTCAGGGGTGCAACACGAGGATTTCCCAGGAGGTCACCCATCCTAGTACTACTCTCGCCCAAGCACGCTTAACTACGGAGTTCTGATGGGATTCGGTGCATTAGTGCTGGTATAATCGCACCCTCGTCGTCGGTTACTTTGTTTCTACTTTTAGTTTGTGTTTTGTTTGGTTTTTCTGTTTGTAGTTCTCCTTGTAATAGAAAAAAAAAGCGAAATATTATCTTTCCTAATATACAAAATACAGAGAATATTTTATATTTTCTTCAAAACAATAAAAAAAAGAATATTTAACATATTTAACATAACATGATGATATTAATTATCTTTACCAAAAATAATTTGTTAAAATATTGTAACATATTGAAAATGTTATTTCTTGCCAAATTCGTAGTTTAATTTAAAATTATTTAGTTATATACGAGTATATTAGTTTGGATGTGTCAAAAAAAATATTACTTTGGATTTTTTTTTAACCAATTTTGCATATATATTCAGACACACAAATACATCTGTACAAAAATACAAATATATTATGTATGTATAGAGAGTTATATATATATAGGGTTGTGATCCAATGAGAAAGATCTTAAAATGAGAAGGATGAGAAGGAATCTCAACCACTCATACAAGTAATCTAATGGCTGATATTAAAAACAAAAAAGTACGCTACTCTACTTCATCTCTCTCACTATTACTCTACTGATCAATTATCACAAAAACGTTTCCCACTAATTTACGTAACCTTCCATTTGATCAAGGTCGACCGTCATCCTCAAATTTTTACTATTAATATTTTCTCTCTCTTCCTCCCTCAAGTTTCATGATTATTGATCTCCTTGCTTTCAATTCTTCCTTCCAGTAGAAGCAATCTGATCATGTTTAGCATTTTAGATCATAAGTTTTCATTTTGAAGCTCCCCGCAATGTCAATGAATGTTATTACAGAACTCTTTAATGGAAATAGAGGATGAGGGAGGAAGAAAAGCAGGGTGTTTTTAGGTGAATGAATAAGAAAACTAATTAAGCAATTAAATTAAATCTAAAGGATGACTTAAAATGTCTACTGAAATTGACAATGTCGTGCCTTCTCTGTCTAATTCCCCATTCGTAGGTGAATGAATAAGAGGAGTAAATAATTTGCATATTTAGCAGCAAAATCATGCACATTTTGTTTAAAATTTATGCACATCGAATTTAAGTCGAAAAATATATGCATATTCAATTACAAAAATATACGCATTCAATATAAAATATATGCACAAAAAATATTTCTCATCCTTCTCATTTTAAGGAACTTCTCATTTGACCCTAACATATATATATATATATATATATATATATATATATATATATATATATATATATATATATATATATATATATATATATATATATATATATATATGCACACACACACTAGTCTTGTGCTCGTGCGATGTGCTGGTTGTTTATTGAATTATAACATAAATTTTTTTAATGTTATTTCAATTTTCTACTCATGGATTAAGTTATGATTGTCTACAACCTTATTTTGACAACTTTGGACAGCAATGATCACAACTAAAAAGAATGGTTGTCTAAAGTTATGATCTCTTTTCATTTTCCAACAATATAAGTGGGAGAACTTTATAAAGGAAATTTTTTATTTGACTTAAATTATGTATTTGTTATTTTTATCATTGTTGTGGATGTCGTACGACTTTTTATTAATGAATTAATATTATTAAGTAGATGTCGAATTGTTGATTTATTGACAACCATAGATTAGTGCTCCCTATAAACACTCAATTTGTACCACTTTTGGTATACTCAAAAGTGGTTTAAGATTTCCCAAATAGATAGGTAATCCCAAATGTTTTGGGCATTCTTGACCTATTGAGCAACTATTCAAGGTATTTAAATTTGGGTTTTTTACATTAATAAGAATCATGATTATGCAAATAATACCTTGTTTAGATAGAGTGACAATAAATCTAATCGAGACTCCAGAGTACTAAAAATGGATGTAATTGCCCAATATATAACCATAAACTTCTGTATTTTGAAAAAAAAAAATTGAATTAAACCTTAGGTACGTCCAAATATAACCTAGGTACACCCAAAAGGGGAAACATTTTATGTACCAACCCATCTGTGGCTGGCCACACCGTGTGGCCACATATAAAATAACAAAGTGTAGGGAATATTTCAAGCATTATCCCTAGCTTGAACCCCACTGTGATCATACACTATTGCATGATGGCATGCAAAGGGAAGGAAACAAGAGCAAAAGAGTCGCCAACAAGTTTTAGGAACTTGTAAACTGTTCACGAGGTGAAGGTTACACCCCTTAACGATCCAGGAGATCGTCAACTCCAATAGGTCTGGAACCATGACTGGTATTTCGGGGATGAAGGTACAAATCCAACCTAAAAGAGATTGAACCTGCCCTAATAATAGGCCTCTACTTTATTCTGATCGTATTCATGTGCGCTTTCTGACTAACATGCAATCAATAGGATTAACCCTAAACCTATTTATCTATGTTGGTTGAATATTAATGCACAAAACAATCTATTATTGGCGATAACTTGAATTATAATCATATTAACCCTAAAAAAGATTATTAATTATCTTATCAAGTTTGACTACAAGTACACTACTACAATTTTAACTAGATGCAATGGTCAATAAAGGGCTAATACAACGTCATATTTATTACCGTCGCAATACATTAGGCTAATACAACGGATATTATTTTACACTTCACAAGGTAGAGCTAATACAACGGATTTGTAGAACCGTTGCATTAGAGAAGCTGAAGAAGCTAATACAACGGCTAAATAAGCTGATGCAACGGCATAAATATTCAACAATATGGAGAGGCGCTGAAAATTTCACTTCTTCCCTCTAATTTTTTCCCAAAATTTTGAACCTTCTACTACATTGCCGCCATGCGTACAAGATAAACCTTAAAAAAAGAAACTATCTAATCCTCTCTCTCTCCTCCTTTCCCCAATTCCTCATTTTTTTCTCAATCTCATGCTTCCTACAATGGCAGTCGCTGCTACTTATTTCTTGGTCTATGCATACAACCCCCCTAAAATTTGCTCATTAGTTTATTATTCATAAGAAATTTGGGTTTGAGTTCCTTTTATAAGTTTTCACTTTTCTTTGTTTCCTTCTCTTCCACAGTTCCACTCTAATTCTTTTGATTTCATTGCCCAATTCTCAAGGAAATAATCGTTATTTCTTCTCATTTTATGGGCTATTTGCCCCAATTTCAACTAGTAAGTTTGGTAAGTTCGCTGATTTGGGTTTCGTTAATTCCGCCATAATTTTTAACAAGATTTTTTATTCTGTCATTTACCTTGTTCATAAGTTCAATTAATTTTTGGGTTTTATCTTTTTGTTCTTAATTTGGTGTTATATATGGAGTGATTTTGGATTTTGGGGTTATTTACCAGTTTTATAATTTTATCAGTTCATGATTTTGTGGATTTTTTTTGTTCTTTGTTTGGTTAATAACATGTATAGAACTCGTTATACTGTGCTCTTAGTTAATTGTTTGCAATTCTTAAATATTTTGCTCTATAATTTTTTTTTAGCAAATTACGGAGTAGTTATTTGAAAAACAGAGCTCTCTTTTTAGATCTGTGTAAATTATAAAAGAAAGTTGAGGAATCAGGATAGGAAAGGGACGATAACGATCAAAATATATGTAATCACTATCGAGAATTTTTATCGGAGGTCTTTACTTTTTCTCTTCCACATTATCAATGGCAGATTAAAGGTTTCTAGGAAATAGATAAGTGTTTGTTGAATATTGTTTTGTAGAGGAAGTGAATGGAGGAGGTGACACACTTTGTGTGTGAGGTGTGGCTTTCATTAAAGTTGTTGCTTTGGTTGTAGATCTCCCGTTACTCGCAAGTGAAAGTGTAATATTTCTCTTCATTTTTTAATCTCTTTTTGGATGAATACTGATATATGTGTAATTGAGATTAAGAATGGCATAAATAGTTAATTTTTTCAGCTTTAGAGAATATAGTTATAAACTAGATCTGAATCTGATTACAATAATTAAAGGTTCCCAACAGTTTTCTATACTCGCTGAGCCACCGAGTTTTGTACTTTTTCAGATTAACTTGGATTAACCTGCTAAATTTTACTGGAGTTTTCTGGTGTCTAATATTCTCTGTTTTTTTTAATTATATGGCCCTTAACATGTATTTCAAAGTCTTTGATTCAATACTCTTTATCTTATGTATGTCCAACCATGACATATATGACCGACATTATTTCATGAATACAAATATGCTTTTATACATGGACTAGCATTGTTGGGTTCAGTAACTATTACCATGTAAATTAGTTGGTTTAATTGTATGACACAAAGATTAGAGTGGATTTGATTTGCTAATATTTTGGATGGTTGTGTTTTTGTGGTTCAATTTTATGTTATTGACCTTGTATTTCATTTTTAGAGTTGTTAGGAAAGATTAGAGTGAAGTCGATCCATTAACTGTATATTTGGGCTTATAAATTAAGTTTCTTGTTTGATTTTAATTGGTCCACAACTTACATGGAAATTTGCTCTAACTATAGACTAATTTTTTTTTAATATACGAAACCATACTACCATAATAGTTTGTGGCTCAGGAATGAGGTCCTCATTTTGTCCTAATATTACTTTAAGGTTATTATTGCTAGCACTTTGTCCTAATATTACTTCAAAGTTAATTCATATTCCTTGCCTAGATTTAATTGTGCTACCTTGATATATTTTTTTTTTATTGCTTCAATTAGGTATCATATATTTGATTCTAAATGTATGCGACTTTCTGCATATGAACAGGTGGTATTCAATTTCAATTACCTCTTATGGAGTGAATGGGATGTGGTATGTTTATTTGTGATCCTGACAGGGATGATGCTTCTTTAGGTGAAAGCAATGACAAGCGTTCATAGAAAAGTAGCAAGTTGCATCATATATATACCTGAAGCTTATTATTAAGCATAGTCGGATGAAGAAACTTAGCTTATGGGGTTGTTCTGGCTTAGATGTGAGTCCCTCTACTTTATATTGACTGATTTGTCGTAATTGTCACACCTAGAATCATATCTGATTTAGTGAATATATAAAAGGTCGTCCCTATACTTAAATTGTTTAGAGCTCAATGACCTGAATCTTACCTCTTGTAGAAACTTACATCCAGGTTATTAATTCGAAATGTTAGATATACAATGGATGGTTTTTATTTTAGCCCTTTAATGTATATACATAAGCACTTTGTTACACTTAAATATATTCTCTGGATACCCAAATCAGGCTTCAAAGAGCTAGTGCTTTTTTGTACATGTAATTTCCATATTCTAATTTGTTTTTAGTTTGCATATAGATGCTATGTTATACTAAATTACTACTTACAGTCAGCTATTTTCTTTGTTCTTACAGGGAAAACAAAGCCTTTCGATTTGTTAATGAACTAATGGAAGAAGAGAAGTAAAGGGCTGGCAGAAATGAAATTCCAAACACAGAGTTAATGAGCATAAAATGCTGAATATTGAGAGTATGACTGAGTAATGTTTTGAAAAGAAACATGTAATTATTAACTTGCTGTAAATTTGTAAGTGATATTTGAATTTGTAGTTTTTGTGACATTGTGTACACTGTACAAGTAAATCTTACGAGTACTTTTAAAATTTCAATGAAATTTTCCTTTTTGTCATATTTATATAGATTCATATAAATAATAATAATTTTTATTATATTTTTATAATAATAATAATTATAATAATAATAATAATAATAATAATAATAATAGCCGTTGCGTTAGGCTCTCAAATGATATGGGACATATACCATTGTGTTAGCTTTTCTGTTGCATTAAATGTCGTAATCATGTTGTTTATAAGGTAGTAAGCTATTGCGACGGATAACTACTGTTGTTGCATTACGTATTGATCTAATACAACGGTTCATTGGCGTCGTTGCATTAGGTGTCAAATGTCGTTGCATTAGACCTATTGCCACACCAGCAGATGCCACAGTACAGGGCCGTTGCATTAGGCCTAATACAACGGATTTTGACGCCTAATGCGACGGATTTAGGGGTTGCATTAGCTAAAAAATGTAGTAGTGGTACAAATTTCCTTTAAGCATGCATAAAAGGCGTGATCAAGCAATAACAATAAATATCAAGCAACATAATAATCATTATAATAATAATAATAATAATAATAATAATAATAATAATAATAATAATAATAATAATAATAATAATAGTAAGATCCTAGGCATGATACTAACAAGATTAATAACAAACCCTAGCATGTCACTAGACAATAAAGATCAAATATATAGCCCTAACATGATACTAACATGTTATTAGGAAAGAAAATAAAAGGCATCATATATTTAATCATACTTGATATTAGGATTTCTAGTTGTTACCCTAAACATGATACTAGGAAGATCAAAATGCCCTAACATGACGCTAGGAATCATAATTACATCCTAAGCATGATTTCTACATCATAATATCAATAAAACAAATAAAACACTTACTTGGATGCCTCGTACCTCTTTCTAATAAAAAAATACACGCGTTAGTAACTTCAAAGAAAATAAAAACAAACAAACAATTAAATTAAATAATTGAAAGAGAGATTTGGGACCAAACCCTCAGAAATTAAAACCATTCACGTCTAGGGTGAAGGCAACTTCGAACAATGCTAGGTGTTTCTAGTGCTAATGTATGAGGAATTTTGTTTGTAAAAAGGTTGGTTTAGAAAAGAGAGAGAGAAAAAGCTTTAGCTTAGAGAGATAAGAGAATTAGAGAGTTGTTGATCTTTGATGAGAATTGGTTCTGAAAAACAGAGGTTTTAGGAGGTTATTTATAGAGAAAATCAACCAAATGGATAGAAAAACAAATCAGAGTTTCGACGAGGAAAAAAAAATGTCTGTCGTCAAGCGCTAATTAATTTTTTCACGCGTTTTCTTAATTCAGATAAAATTTAACCGTACAGAAGGGCAAAATCGTATTTTTCTTAAAAACACTCTTTTATTCTGATTAAAACTCTAAAAAGTCAACAAAAAGTCAATTTATCAATGCTGATTGAATTAGGAGTGAAAAGAACCTTCTAGAAGAATCTAGAAGACTAAAATCAGTCCTAATTGCATTAGGAATGACAAATCAATTTTAGGCCCTCCTCTAGATCATTGGGTCGCGCGCATATAAGGTTGAAACCGGGCCCAGTTTAGTAATTTGGCCATAACTTCCTCATTATTCATCGGAATTGGGCTTATAATACATCTTTGGAAAGCCCTTTTCAATTCCAATCCAACTACACCATTATTGGACCCATACTATAGACCAACCAAACTGTATTGGCTGTTTTCTTAAAATAGGTCTTCAAAAACAAAGAGAAGAGAAAAGAAATTAAAATTATCCGCAACACTACACTACAAGAAAATATATTAAATTTTGACGCTTTTGCCTTGACACTTTTGTAATGGGTCATAATTTTCCTCCGTCCACTATTACGTAATTTATACATTTTGACTAATTTTAGAGCCAAAATATATTGTGTCCCTCAAAAGGGTCATAATATTGAATGCAATGAAACGTGTCACCCAACTATCAATTACACATTTACACAACTAACCCGCTGAAATTAAAATTTCACCAAAATTTATAATCTAATATCCCGGGAAACTGTACACCTTATTCGCCGCTCAGATTTGTTGCCTAAAAACTTTGAATCTTCACAAAAAAATCACTAATTTCTTGATTTCAGTTAGCATATAATCATCTCAGCCCACTTCTTACTTTACCTCTTCAATTTTTTTTTCAATATATTTGAAGCGTATAGTATGATGTGAATTGCAGATTGCTTTAATACTCTTCATAAGTTGCCAAAAAGTTCTCTTAATTTAGTTTTGGGGTTAATTTGTATTGTGAGTTTTGATTCATCGTTTCTATTGTTTGTTGGAGAAAATTTATCAAGATTCAGCCCAAAGATCTCGTAAGTTTTTTTTTTTTTTTTTTCCAATTTTTTTCTTTAATTATTATGTATGTTGATAGCTGCATGCATGATTATTATTATAATCTCCGATTATAGTTGAAGAATGGGTTGAATTAACGAATTAATTAAGTTATTGAATTGGTTAATTATATTCTAACTTTTTTATTGGTAAAGAATTGGATACCCATTTGCAATTGTTACTCGAAGTCTCGAATTATGCATATTTTTATTAAAAATTGTAACTTTTTGATAATTTTCAGATGTATACATATTTAATCAGTTGTTTAATTAAATGTTTACATATACATTGCTTTCAAACTTTAGATTCTTTTTTAAATTGAAACAAAATGCACAACTACAATTAATCAGCAGATTTTTGACCATATTAACGCACAGGTCATCAAAGGAGAAGCTGTGGTATTTGAAGTGCAAAGAAGTGGAAAATAAGAAGCTAAAAAGGCGGAGAAACGGCTTCAAGAATTGGAGGTGATGTACATAAGCACTGCCTAAATATAATATTGTTCTGGATGAAAATTTCAGTTGTGTATCTTTTAATGTCTATAGTTGGCTGTGAGTTTTGAGCTTAAGCTTTTATTAAATCCTTAGTTAATGAATAATTATTTGATTATTCATAATAGGTGATGGTCTATTACCTTCTTCGGCTAAATGGGATAACTATAAAAATAGAGATGTATGCTGACTTTGGTGACACTGATTGAAAAATATATCTCATATTCTTTTCTGGTGTAATTAGATATATTTAATAGTTTTCTTAAAGGTGATCAATTTCTAAGAACAGAGATGTATGTAGCAGTTAGTTTAGCAGACTGCTTGAATTCAGAGCTTTGAGCATGCTGGTATTATGTCTTATTAATTATGCCATCAATTTCGGCTTTTTTTTTTTTAAATCATGGAATGCTTGTTTACCATATCTGTGATTATTTCTTTGAGTATAAAAGTCATTACGCTAAACAATATTTGAGAAAAGATTCAATTAACTATTAAGAATTGAATCATGTTGTTCGTATAGTTGATCTTAAGGAGTTAAGATATGGACCCTTTGAAGGAGTAAGTCTATCATAAGTGTGATGCTGTATTACCCTTCCTTTTCACATGATGGCAAGAAAAACTATCAAGATTGTCCCCCCAATCTACATATATCTTCCACCAGTAGATCAAAAAACAGACCTCCCAAAGTACTTCAAATTAATTGCACCTCATAAATTAGCAACATCACATTCTAGTTCCACCTTTTGATAACCAAGACTCAAGGCAACCTGTAACCCCAATCTAGCAGCGAGAACTTCAGCCACCTCAATGAACTTCTACAGACTTCCCTACGCACCACCACTCTATGAACACAACCTGCAGCATCCCTAAAAACTGCCCCTAACCCCATGCCATTCTCCTCCAACATTACAGCGTCAGTTTTGATTTTTATTATACCTGGAGCGTGAGGAAGCTAATAACTTCTATAAATCACAGCTCTGGTAGCAGGAAGCCAGGAACATAGCAAACTCTCGAATTATATTTTTTAAAATCGAGAACAAGTTTCACAAAACCCATAACTCCTACTATAATTCACTGCTCCAAGTCTTACCAAACACCACTAAATTATGAAAAGCCCACGTATCCCAAACAAAAGCCACCAGAACCAGCATCTCATGTTTACCATATTTATCAAATGCCTAGTAAATTCGTTCAATGAGTATTTTTCTAACAACTTCAAACTCTCCCAATTTGATTCCACTACTGATGTGTATTTTTCTATGTTATCTCCCATGTCAACTTTGCATTTGAGTATTGAATTACCGTATTTGTTTTTGTTATCACTGTTTTCAATTGAAGTGTCTTTTGAGTTTTCTCCCCCCCCTATAATTTTTTTTTTGGTCACTCGAACATAATTCTTTATATTATATAATATATCATCTAATGTGTGGATATTGCTTGTATTTTTTTTTTCAGCATTCATCCTTTTGGATTCTTTTGGTCACTGCATGCTTAGTTTAGAAGACTCTTGAAGACAGCTATACCAAGGTATTACTCACATCTTATATGCTACTATTAAGCAAACTGAAGAAGGAATCTTGATCCATGAACAAAAATATATTAAGGAACTGATCAAGAAATACAAGCTTGACAATGCAAAAACCAACCGAACCCCCATGGGTGTTGCAACTAGATTGGATGAAGATCTATCTGGAACTTGTGTAGATCAAACATTGTATAGAGGTATGATTGGTTCTCTACTTTTTACTTAATAGCTAGTAGACCTAATATATCTTTTAGTGTAGGTCTATGTGACAGGTTCCAAGCAAATCCAAAGGAGTCCCACTTGATAGTAGTAAAGAGAATCCTTCGATATTTGAAAGGAATTGATGACTTAAGTCTCTTCTATCCTAGAAGTGAGTCTTTTGATTTAAATAGCTTTACTGATGCTGAATATGCAGGTGATTTGGTTAACAGAAAAAGTACTTCAGGTAAGGTACAGTTTTTGGGACCGTGTTTAGTTTCTTAGGGTTCCAAGAAGCAAAACATAGTTGCATTATCTACAACTAAAGCTGAATATATGGCAGAAGCAGCATGTTGTTCACAAATCATATGGATAAAGCAATAGGTTAGAGATTTTGGAATCATATTTGAATGCGTTCTTATTTATTATGACAATACCAGTGCTATATGTATTTCTAAGGATCCAGTTCAACACTCAAAGGTAAAACACATTCACATTAGGCATAACTTTCTAAAAGATAACGTGGAGTAAGGAAATATCAAGTTAAAATTTTGTCAAACTAAAAATCAAATTGCAGATATTCTGACCAAGCCCTTGAACAGTGAAAGATTTGAGAAATTGAGACTAGAACTGGGATGATCAAGCCGAATTAATTGCTTGTGAAGTTCCAAGATATGGAAAAATTAAAAATAGTGTAAATAGAGTAAAAAGAGAATCTAGTACAAATTTGGTGTGCTAAACATAGCTGAAGTGTCACCATTGAAGAGCTTCAAGAGGTTAGTTCACAAAACACTTGATTAATTACATTAGTAGTAATGTACACTGTATATGTGTTGAAAGTGTGTTCCAAATAAGCTATTTTCTAAAAAAGCGTGTTTTTGGAAAATTCATGGAATTTGGAAATAAAATAAATTTGGTAAAATTCATCCAGCCTATTTTTGTTAAATTGTTTTGATAAATTTTTTTCAATTAATGACTGCACAATAACTCATTCATATCCTTTACACAGCTTCAATTATTATAAAAGCATCTCTCACCTAACTTTCTACCACACTGTAAAATCAATTAAAACCCGATCAGTAAAAACCCATTTGTAGGGAATGATTTCAAGCATTAACCCCTAGCTTGAACCCCACTGTGATCATACACTAAAGTACGGTGGCGTCCAAAAGGGAAGAAGATAGAGCAAAATAGTCGCCAACAAGTTTTAGGAACTTGTAAACCGTTCACGAGGTGAAGGTTACACCCCTTAACGATCCAAGAGATCGTCAACTCCATAAGGTCTTGAACCAAATAAGGGTTCGGGGATGAAAGTACAAATCCAACCTAAAAGAGATTGAACCTGCCCTAATAATAGGCCTCTACTTTATTCTGATCGTATTCATGTGCGCTTTCTGACTAACGTGCAATCAATAGGATTAACCCTAAACCTGTTTATCTATGTTGGTTGAATATAATGCACAAATAAATCTATTATTGGCGATCACTTGAAATTATAATCATATTAACCCTAAACAAGATTATTAATTATCTTATTAAGCGTGATTACAAGTACCAAATTCCCTTTAAACATACAATAAAAGACGTGATCAAGCAATAAAAAATAAATATCAAGCAACATAATAATAATCAATTATGATAATAAAATTATAATCATCATCAAAATAATATAATCATAAAAATAATAATCATAATAATAATCGTCATATTAAAATAATAATCATCAAAATAATAATAATAACATTCATAATCATCATAAATTATAATCATGATAATCATAATCATGTTCATGTTAATATTAAAGCATAATAAAAATAGCAAGATCCTAGGCATGATACTTACAAGATTAATAACAAATCCTAGCATGTTACTAAGCATTTAAAAATCAAATCTTTAGCCCTAACATGATGTTAACAATCATAAATATTAGGAAGAGAATAAGAAGCATCGTAACAATTATATTTAATATTAAAGTTACCCTAGACATGATACTAGGAATATCATAATAACAATTTAAACATGATCATAACATCAATTAAAAATCATTAAAGTACTTACTTTGATGCCTCGTACCTCTTTCTAATAACAAAATACATAACTTCAAGGAAAATAATAAAGAAAAATTAAATTAAATAATTGAAAGAGAGATTTGGGACCAAACCCTCATAAATTAAACCTTTCACGTCTAGGACGAAGGCAACTTCGAATATGGCTAGGTGTTTCTAGATCTTGCGAATGCGGAATTTTGTATGTAAAAAGCAAGGTAGAAAAGAAAGAGAGAAAAATATGGTGAATGACTAAAAAGAATAAGAGAATTAATTGCGAATGAAAACTGGTTGTAGGTGAATGAAAACATAGCTTTTACGTCGTTATTTATAGAGAAAATCAACCAAAAAGATAAAATTAACAAAACAGAGTCAGGCGCACGCAAAACGAGATTGACGCCAGGAATTGGCCATTGGCGCCAGGCGCCTGACGCTAACGTCAGGTGCCAATGCCTGCCGTTAGGCGTCAATCCTGTTTTTGACGCGTTTTCTAAAATCAGATTAATTTTGCCGTACAGGAGGATAAAATCGTATCTTTTCCTCAAAATGTTCTTTGATTTTAATTAAAACTCTGAAAAGTCAACAAAAGTCAATTTATCAATGCTAATTGAATTAGGAATGAAAAGAACCTTCTAGAAGAATCTAGAAGACTAAAACCATTCCTAATTGCATTAGGAATGATAAAATATATTAGGCCCTCCTCTAGATCATTGGGCCGCACATAAGGCTCAAAATGGGCCTAGTTTAGTAAATTGGCCATAACTTCCTCAATATTCATCGGAATTGGGCTTATAATATATCGTTGGAAAGCTCTTGTCAAACCCCATCCAACTACACTACTATTGGACCCATATCATGGAACAACCAAACTGGATTGACTGTTTTCTTAAAATAAGTTTTCAAAAACAGAGAGAAGAGAAAAAAAATTAAAACTATCCGCAACACTAAACTTTCCACACTTTCACTTCATTCGATTAAGATTCGACGTGAAAGGCACTCATCAATGGGATTGGTTTTGGGGAGACACAAATGGGTGTCTACACCATTAAACTCTTTAAAACCTCCTAAACCCCCATCAATGGAAATGCAATCAAGCCAAGACTCCTCTGACAACTACAAAACTCCACCCCATATCGCTCCGAGCTTGAAGAAACCTCCCGTTTAGCCATGATAATCTATAAAGCATCGACAAAGGATGTCGAGGTAGCCGAAGAAGTTCCTAAAGCAAAAAATCCAACCTCATCAACCCAAAGACGAAGATCAAACTGAAGAAGTAAAATCGTCTGCATCAGCTCTTCTATAAAGACTAAGAGAGTGGAAAGAGAGTAAGGCAAAGGAGAAATCGCTAGAAGAGCACATTATTGAGGTGGATGATTTTGTTGAGGGGGGACTTCATAAATTAGATGAGGAACAAGAAGACATGGAGATCGATGATGATCAGAAATCACTGGAGAAGATATCAGGAAGGTATGTAGTTGGTTATAGGCTTGATTTAACTTGGATTAAGAAGTCTAGGTTTATGGAATTTCTAGATTTAATTCGTTTTCAAGGGTGGGAGGACATGTTGGTTAAAGCCTCGAATGATTTCATGTATCCAGCTGCAATGAATGAATATTGTTCTGAATTTACTGTGAAACAAGGAATAATTTTGAGTTTAGTCAATGAAGTGAAAGTTGAGTTTGATGTTGAAACCCTAGGAACAATTCTGAAAGTTCCAATTTAGGGTTATAAGATGTATGTAAAAGGGAAGTCGGTGGTGAAGGTAGGTAGCTTTCTAGGGGAAATTTGTGATGAAGGTAGGTAGCTTTCTAGGTATCAACACTTGGCTCATTGTTTTCCCAGTAAAAATAAAGTTAGATATGGTGCTTTGTTGTTTACTGTGTTTGAAGCCTTGGGATTGAAACTTAAAGGTGTTTATGGAGGACTGCAAGAGAAACCAGAGAATGTGATTAATGAAAAGACTTTGCAGGGGCCGAGCTTGTGTGTTGTTGGAGGGAAATTTCAAAAATTGGAAGAGAAAAAGGGTGAGTCAAGTGGGAAAAAGGGGGATGAGATCGTGTCTGGAGGTCCTGTGAGGAAAAGTAAAAGACTTTCTGCTAGTGCTTTTCCCGAAACTAGTATTAAGAAACCACTGGAACTTGATGCTGAGGATAACAATTTGGTGGCAAGGCAAACTTCTGAACTAACTGATAGGGCTGATATTGCTGAGAAGCAGTTAAAGGAGCAGTTAGGGAAGGTTCAGAAATTAGAAAGGATAATGCAGGGATTGGAAAAGGGTCTTAAGGAGAAGAAGGTGGAGTTCCAAAAGAAGATCAAGGAGATAGAAAACAAGATTGAAGCATTCACTGAGCAGCAGCAGGAAGATAACAAGAAAATTCTTGATTTGCTTCAGAGTTGATCTAATCTTCTTCTAATTAACCTGCATCCTATCTTCCCTCAACCTTAGCCTATTTCATCTTAGCCTACCGACTTACTGTCGTAGTCATGAACAATTTTAATTTTGTTTTGTGTTGAAAATATTTTGGTTTGTAATAATTTTGAACAATTTTGGCAGGATAATATTTTGTTTTTAGATGCATATTTGGAATTTAGCCTATACATGTGTATTGTTGTATGTTATGAACATGTATGCATTAAAGTAGAACTAACTAAAAGGAACTAGTTAGCGCTGCCTTCAGTTTCCCACATTCGATGAATTGCTTATGGGGCTGTGGCTAGATGCTTACTACCTTGAAAATACATGACTTTTTGATAATGCCAAAAGGGAGAAAAGAAGAAGCAAACTTGGAGGCTAAAGTTGTTTAGGGTTCCAGTTGAGAAAGTATCAAAACTTTCTTGTGATATAATGCTAGTAGTTACCAATAGCTTATTTTTATGTTTATTAGCTTTATGTTTATTTTGCTTTTCTTATTTTAGTCGTGTGTTTTATGTCAATAAATTTTAAAAAATTCAAAAATACGACCTTCTATTTGATTTAATCTTTCCATAGAGTTTGCTTAAGTTTGTCATCATCAAAAAGGGGAAAATTATTGAAGCTAGGTTTTGATGATGATAGACTTAACTTTAAGCAAACTAACAAAACTAATAAAGATTTTATAAGTGTGTAAATAGAACAGGTGAAGTAGACCAAGGTGGTGGAAGAGTATCCTAAAGCTGTGAAGACATGAAGAGACCTTTGAAAGGGTAATCATAATAGAAGAAGAGTTCTCTAACAAGAACTGAGTTCCTTAACAGGAACGTTCCCTAACAGGAACCTAAAGACAACAAGTTATGGAAGAACTTGGCATGTGAAGTTCTAGTTCAGAACTGGAGCACAAGTGACTGCAGGAACTTAGTCCTAGTCTGCGTGATACTCAAGCATTTGATTATACAAAATATTGGCAAAGCAATTTAGTTAAGATTTTATCTCTTAGAATTGCTGTAAATGTGTTAAGCAAGATTACACGTGAGACTTATTAGAAACGTGGCAAAGTGGCTTGGCAAACACCTTATAATAGGAAAGTTAAAAAGATGAGTTTTTAAGAAAAGATTTTCTAACATAATTTGTTTCTTAAAAACTAATTGTCAAAAGATATGATTCGATTGATAATCTATCTTTATCTAGTTTTTCAAAAAGATTTTCTCTAAGCTTGATTTACTTATAACTTTGGTTTGAGATTTAGTTAAAATTAACATAATTATCTTTTAAAAACCCTACTTTCTATACGAGTTGTTCTTGTATAAATAGTAGAGATCTCATTTCATAAGTTTTCTGTGAGTTCATGCGTGAAGAAATCATTTGAGCTTTAATTGTGTAATGTTGCCAAGGTTATAACTTTGTCACATTAGTTTCAGGTTTCATGCATAGCCTGCCTATCATATACTAGGTGTCATATATTTGTATTGGTTGGGTTATTGGGTGGGTGTGGGAATTTAACATCGCATACAATTTTGTAAGCTTCGAGTGTGTAGATGTGAGTGGTAGTACTTTAGGAGTACGAGTGAATCTAAGTGTGGAACTTAGATTGGGTAGGATAGGGTCTTACTGTGTAACAAGTTCATTCTGAAACTTGTGAGTAAAGGCCTGTTTATAATAGGTTGTAACTTGGTGTTTTCCCTATTATAGTGAATTGGTTTGGATCTGAAATCC